GATAATAATCAACTATTATCGGATATCAGTGACGATACAAGATATGTGAAAAGACAAATATATAAAAATATTGTCAGTGGAAAGAAAAGGAATCGTAATCACCGTCAACATTTATCTCCATCTCCGTCATGCCATCATCTCTTGAAAGTTTATAAACCGCAGCTACAAATAACCACGAAACGAACAGGTGCATTAAATCAGTTGCTTGTTTAGAGCTTACTAATAAACGTCTTAACTGCAATCACAAGATTTCTCCCGTATTGATAGTATTTGCTATATTTTTATCGTGATGCGACACTAATAAATGTGAAAGTGGAATATCATAGTTAATCATGGAATATCGTGGCAAATGTAATAATTATTACTAAAAAATTATTAAATTTTTAATTGTCACTTCGTTATTGTCATGTGCATCGGCATATATCGGCATATATATGTTTCATTATCAGTTTCATGTTTAAATTTTGCGATGTAGAATAATTAAAAACTATCCGTTTTTCTAACAGAGACATAACTTTGATTTTGACTTTAATCTTTTATGTTTCTTTCATTTGATTCTAAATCTATTATAATATTTTTAATGAACAGAGATTTGCGACAAATTTAAGATATATATACTTAAATACATTTCATCACATTTCATCACCTTAGTTAGTTATGAATATATTAAGGAAAGAAAACTTATTTAAATAAAGTTGATATTATATTTATATTACAATTTCTATCACAATACACGTCTTCAAACAAATCTGCTGTTTGGAAATCATTAAGTTTTGATTTTTGCAATTGCATGAATTACTACGTTAACAGTTTAAATTTATACCAGCTTTCGCGTCAACAATTGCTTTGTGGATTTCATATTACCGCGCAATAATGCGATTTCTGCGAAAATTATAGACCAGTCGTTAGAGAATTTCACGTTTCTATTTTTATGTTATTTACTGCCATAGCCTCTAAATTATATTTGAAATGCTATCGCGTAGACTGGTATTCATAGTCGATTCTTATTTGAAATTATCTTAAGTACAGTCTTAAGACGTCACAAGTCAATTACAGAACAGTATCAACAATTTATTAGACATTACTTAATTAGCATTAAGATATTACTGAATTGAAGATGCTACTTAAGATAATCTTGAAATAGCAAAATATTAATCAATAGTTTGTTATATGAATGCGTTACGCATGAAGCGAATGATGATCATTTGTTCTTGTTGTTCATCAAATAAAGAAAGATAAAAACGATATCATGTGCTTATGCATAACTCGGAATGCACCCTGTGGCAATCGCTGTGAAAAAGTTTCAAAAAAAAACTTTCGATATGCTTTAATAAAGAGATGAAAAAAAATTTTTTGTTAAAGAAATTCTTCTTAGAGAGAGAATTTTAGTAGAGAGAGAAGTTCGTATAAAATTTTGATTTTTAACGAAATATATGTATTTATATAGGCTCTGACACTGTGATATTTCTCGGTTCTCGAATATGTCAGAGAATAGAATCGAATTCTTCGCATTTCAGACTGATGGTCTAAGAACGAAGTAATTTCTCCTTTTTTAAGAGAAGGTTAATCATACAAGAGGAACCAACAAATTTTCTGGACCACGTCAATTTGCAGGTAGACGTAGGAACCCGAATAGCATATTAGAATTCAAAAACCCTCTCGCTCGAGTTCTTATTCCTCCGCGGGCTGTTCGTTAAATTGGTTCTAGGAGCTTAGGGTCAGCTGACGATAGAAGTGGAGCTAAGAAAGATTTGTCAAAGAAGGTAAAGCTTAGAAAAGAAAAATGTATTCTCGGAGAGACAGAGAGAGAGAGAGAGAGAGAGAGAGAGAGAGAGAGAGAAGGAGAATTATTCGTAAACTTTTGTATTATGAATGGAAGCTAAGTGTTCTAGGATAAACGCATCAACTTTTTCAACTTATTCAACTCAAACCCGCGAAGTTAAAAATAATTAAGAACGAGTAAAAGTAGAAGAGCTTCGTAAGGAATTCCTACTTCCGCTGTCATAGAGTTTCCCGTGTCAGTGTCCTGTAACGTTAGTGCGATGCAAGGTACGTACGTAGATCAGCTCGAGAATCCTCTCATGATAGAATCGATGGAACGATAAAGCTGGGTACCCTGTTCGCCCACGTAGCATTTACACGCAAATTCTACGTACTTATATATTATATGTGAGCGTGATTTTACTTGTGTGTAGAACGAACGAGCAGTAGAGATGCGCGAAGGATACACACCGGTTTTTCACTGGATTATTACATTATTTGCAATCAAACGCGTATTAGACTTCATACGTAAAAATTGTACAACGTAAGTCAACACGATGACACTTTTCTTTACTCTGTTGTTGTAATGTAACATAAATGTTGATGTGATTCGCATCGAAAACATTGTTTACCACATATCTAATCGATAAATCTGGAAATTTCATTAAACTCTTATAAACTAATATGTACCCACGATAGATAAAATGATGCGACAATTGTTATCACATGTTTGTAACTAGATTAGATGAAAAGAATTTCACATGTTTACGTATAAGTTATTATTATTTAATCACATGTATATACGTATATTTTAGAAATAACATTAGAATGTAACATGTTACTTTTTTAGTGAAATAAAAGCGTCAAAATACCATATAGCATTCAGCTTACCAAAATGGCACGTTTAAATTCACGTTACTCCAGAGGCAGACACGGAGATACACGGAGGCAATGCATTCGCTCTCGCCTACGCACGTCGCGACACTCTTGTCTGCTCCCCAGAAAGTTCATTCATTCGCTCGTATCCTTCTTTCATTCAAAGTCTGATACACTTGAATCATGAAACCACATCGCGTCGGGGCGAGTACGAGGCTCGTAGATAGCCATGCGCGCGTGCACGTGCTCATGTTATCGCTCTCAGAAATACATACGTGATGTGTGTACGCATTGTAGCTCGACCATAGTCTTACGTCTTACTTTGTGATTATTGTCTCGAGGGGAGTTCTCCCAATCTCTCTACGTTCTTCCCTCCTCTCCCGGCAATTATTCGCTTATCTGTCCGTTTCCTGTCTCGTCAAATAGCCCGAGATCGACGATACGTTAAATCCTCAAAGACATCTCGTAGAATTTTAGTTGAGTTTAAAACATAATGTTATTACAAGATGACAATTAGAAAGGGATGATTTTTTTAACTCTCTAGAGATTAATAGTATCTATTATATAGGACACAACAAGACGTTTTAATCATTACGATGAATCTCGTTCTTATTCTTATATGAAAATGTTACAAAGGAAGCATATATATTACAATCGATTATTAAAGAGAGAAGACAGGCTCGACTATCATTTTACGTGCACTGCACATACACTCGTACACGAAATAAATGTAGTATACATATACGTGTATATTCATTTCCTTGTACTATAGTTGCTACAATTATAACTAGAGTAAAAATATTTTCTTAAAAATTACACAATGTCATGGCTTATTTTATGGATAATTAAATTAACTTTAAATTAATATAATCAACAAACTAAATAAATAACGGATACAATGAAAATTTAAAAACCATCAGTGGTTAATATAAAAAAAAAATTCATTATGAATTGTTCATCACTGATGGTTTTTAAATTTTCATTGTATCCGTTATTTATTTAGTTGATTAATTTAAGATTGTATTTCTGCGTTTTAACACTGAGGAAGGTTTTGTAAGCCGAAACGTTTGTTGATTATATTAATTTAAAGTTAATTTAATATATTATAGTTCGAAATAAGCCATTGTGCTACAATTATGTATAATAATATGTGTCACAACTGATCGGCTCGGTATCAATATCATACTTGATCACTATAATTCTCTACTATTTTTTTCTTTCTTCTCCTTTTTTGAAATATAATACCTAAACATCAAAATATGCGTAGGCATATGAAAACACCTTGAACCATCCATTTTAATTTGATCGGAATTAATTAACAAAAATTGAAAAAACTGCAAAAAGTGACGATCATTTGAATTTTCAAGTAAGTTTTAATTACGACATAAACTATTACGGTATAAATACGTATTTGATTTACCGATTCGTAATCTTCTTTTCACCGAGGTATCGTACGTGTCTAAGATCGAGATTCTCATGGGGAAAGATATGACCTCGTTGTTTTATATGTGCTCTTGGTACGTGCGTGTACATACGTATCCTCTTGTTTAAAATAGCTCTTATTATTTTGCATGTTAATAAAATTCTTATTATTAAATAAGAATTTA